AGATGTAGAAAGCATATTTTAAAAATATTTTTCGTTCAACGTGAATATATGAATTTTTATTCTTGAAGAAGAAAAGAATTTTGGGTCGTAACTGAATGATTTACTCAACGATCTGTCGGGTCAAATCTAAATTTGCAACAGATCCATTGTACAACGAGATATCTTGAGTACAAAAAACGCGAATGGAATCTGATAATACAATAAATAGACAATTATTGTTGTATGAAAATATATAAATAATTACAAATTTCTTATTTATAATTTCAATCTATTAATTTATGATTTCAATCTCTATAAGAAAACTGTCTCTATAAGAATAAAATTTCTCAATATAAATAGAAAGTTTATTTCTTTCATTGATGGAAAATATTATATAATTTAATTTATAAATAAATTTTACATTGAGTGCAATCAATTTTGATTTTCATTCAATTAAAAAAATTTAATGTTAGAAATTTCAAATTGCGTGACTTTGAAATCAAATAATAATCAAATAATTTCGAATCATAAAGATTTCGATTTTAGAATTATACGTAAAATAAAAAATTGATCAATCTCGAATATGATAGAAGCAATAATATATTAGAGTTTTTCGGAATGACTCTCGACTTATTTCCAGACACCAATTATACCTCAGTCATTCTTACGAAACGATTCAGTTCGCGTGTTTGATCGTAATGCACTCCAATTGCAACGAGTACATTGAGTTTTCGCGGAAGCATGCAAAATATTCGAGGTTACCAACACGTGTGATACGTGCAAGGAGCATAAACCTGATTTTCGGAACTTATAAAAATATATCAAGTCGAATTTGCCTTTCACCGAGTCGATCATCTTAGTCACTAAAGCCAAACTAACATATCAATCAATTAACATTCGATAATTAGAATAATTAACTAGGATTATCTAGAAAATTGTAATAAAATTATGATTATCCAAGAGATTTATTCATTTTATATGTATCAATTAAAAATAATTTGAAAGTATTTAACAAAAGAAACATTTAATTGCAATTATTTTTCATAAAATGTTGTTTTTCAATTTTTCAAAATTATTTTCTATAAATTATCAATTGTACAATGTATATAATGATGTATGCAAATATTTTTCGTATAAATAATTAATTCTTTTCAATTCATTGATAATTATTGAATTTATTTTTGCCATACGATTGAAAATTAATTTTTTCTAGAAACGACAATCGACAAAGTAAAAGGAAATCGAATTCAAGAGGAAGTTTCCGATATAAAATGGCGTCGAGAAGAAGAAAGTTTTCCTAGGTAGTTTCTGACCGTGGAAGAGTACAGCCGCCTAAACGACATCGTTTATTATTTTAATGACGTCATTAGTGGAATTTAAATAATCTTGTCCGTGAGCCACTTCGTCTTGCTGTACCCATGACAGTTTTATTCGTCGTTACCACGACATTTGGCCATTCTCTTTACATTCGCGCCGCCATTAGTGTCTTGTTTTTCCTTTCCTATCCACCTACAACTATTTCATCGCGTTTTTTTTACAAATTTACAAATCGAGAAAGAAAATAGCAAGAAATTAAATAATAAAATATCGCTGTCTCGTTATTATGAATTAACAAGTCGATCAGAATTTTCAATAATAGAAAAAGAACGTGAAAATTTCGACTCGAGTATAAAAATTGAACGTTTCGTGTTTTACGTTCGGATCATAAAGGATTCCCCTTTATATCGTGATGCCTTTGATATCTATATGATAGCAAAGGGAATACCTTTCTTTATATTAGTGTAATATTTTGACACCTTCTATAAAGGTGGGATAATCGTTTCACATTAGCACAGTTCTGTCATAGAGGTATGCTTGATATTCTTATAGAATGCTACTTTTTCACGTTGAATTCTTCGACTGTAAATCTTATCCATATTCGATCTCTTCATTCTTTCTATTTTGAATCTTTTTTGATTTTCAATTTTTCTATTTTTGAATTCCTCCATTTTCCATTTCTTCATTTTAAATTTCTTCACATTGAGTATTTCGATTATTTCACATTTTAAATTGTATATCTGCAGAACTAAATTATAGATCAATAATATCAATAACGATATCCTAAATGTATTTATATATAATTAAGAGAACTAATTATCATATATTGAAAACATAGTCAAAAATTCATATTCAAAGTTAATAAAAACTTAATCTATGATGTGGAGCATTTAATAAAGCATAAACGCGAGTAGATAATAAACGCGAAATAATAGATTACGAAATCTGAAGGCTGGATGTAAACCATTTCCAGGCCGTGGATAGACCGGGGGCTATTTTCGAGAAGAACAATATAAAAATGACATGGCAATGTAGCTGCCACGTATTCCGTGCCTCGGCGGCGCCGTCTATTCTTTCCCATCTTGTCCACCCATTGTCTTCTCTTCCCGTTGAACTTGTGCACATGACTCGTTTTCAAAAGACGATTTACCGATTTTCCACGCTCGTCACGAGACATGTAGAAAAAAATCGAAAAATGACACAATGTCGAAAAGTATAGCGATACTTTTCATTATTATTATATTTTTCATTATTATTATATTGATTATATATTTTTTTTTTCATTCATTTTTGAATTGTATTAAATTAAAAAAAAATCTAAAAATAAGTTGAGACCGACGTTTTAGATTCGCGAAACTTGAATCCGAAAATTCCGAGAATTTCTTTGTGAAGTTTCAAAAATACTCTTGAAATACTTTTTCTCCTTTTCCTTTTCTTTTTTTTCTTGCTATAGAAATTATTTTTTATTATTTTAATCATTCTTTATTCAAATTTCAAGAGTGTTTAATCACAAATAATAGTAAAAAGTTTCGAGATTCGTAATACGAAACTTTTTGAGTTTTAAAGTTTCGATTGTTATATCCTTAAAAAAAAAAAATCTATGACACATGCTATATATAAAAATATAATAAAAATATCTATATATATAGAATGTCATGTTTTTAAATATTTTATAACAACGTAAATAGTAATCATCCACGATTGTTACGATGATTTGAAAATCAATGTTGGAGATACACACGTTTATTTGGCTGGTCTCGTATCATCGAGTGGAATAGAAAATAATGGCAAGCTGCCGGATATTTGTGGGCGAGAGTGTGACAAATATATATGATAAAAGCCGACCTGTTCCGCTCGATATTGATTTATAACAGACCGATGTATTCAACGTGTATCGGAACTATGTTTTCAATTTCCATGTAACGCATTCACCGAAAATTTGATATTTCACTTGGAATATCAATAAGGATATTGAAACCAAAAAAAAAAAAAAAGAAAAAAAAATGCACGTGCTTCCAACGTCACGATGTTGTGTCTACGAATAAATTCGTGTGAGGGGGAGAAAAAATATTCATGAATTTTTTTCCAAGGGATACCAAAACTATACGAAATTTTTTCTAGTTTGGATATTTTTGAATTTTTTCCATATTTGAATTCTTCGACCATGAATTTTTCCATTTTCAATCTCTTTATTTTGAATTTTTTTTACTTTGAACTTCTCATTCTTGATTTTTTTACGTGAATTTTAATTTTTTTATCCGTAAAACATTTTACTCTATTAGTGGAAAAAAATGCATAATTGCATATTTTATCACTGTTGAAAAATAATTTAAAAAAAAATCATACAATTGTATAAAGTTTGCTTCTATAATTTTGTTCATAATTATTTTTATCCTCTAACTTTTTATTAATATAAAAAATATATATTAAATATACCACTTTATTTTAGGTTCCCTTACAATAATGCAGTATTATACGAATCTTTAAAATAAACATGTCCACGTGGTAGTGAAGTGTAATTTATAACTGAACATGCACGTGAGAGCACGTGACTCGATTAATCTGATTTCACGGCTGCAATCATGTCCAGGCCATTCGATGGAGTTGGCCAATGTAAATCGAGCACAATAATCAAAGACATATGGAGGTAAGTTCATCAATCCTTTCTATAATTTGTTATATTCCATCAAAGAGGGAATTCATTGATGGAATCCATTGTATTATGGATAAGTGAACAAAATAACAAAGAAAGTTAATAGATGATATCGCTTTTCCTCAATGTAGTCTTTTAATTTATTATTTAAAACATTAATTAAAATATTTAATCATAGTTTTAAGAAAATTACACTTGTGAAAAATCCTCCATCCTTTCAAGAAAATTCAGACTCCCTGTTTACTTGATATATATAATTTAAAACTAACAGTCGGATAAGCTAGACTTAAAATCTTAAACAGAAGAAATTCTGTATGATTCCTAATCAATAAAATTAAATATAATCCTTTTCCTTGATTATAATTAATGTTTCGCATTAAGATATACTAAATATTCATAAGACAAAGATAATTTAAAATAAAGATTTATCTCATAAAAATATACAATTAAATTGTGTATTTTTATGAGATTAATCTTTATTTTATTATTATCTTTTATATTAAATCACTATTAATTCATTTTGTAAAAAAATTTTAGTTTTTAAACAATATAAAATGTATGATGTGTGAGAAATTTTGCAAACAGAAAACTGTATTAGAATCAAGAACATATTCTAAACCTTTTATGAATGCTCATTGTCAGAAAATTATATAGAATTGTTAATTTCAATATAGAAAAAGATTTATTATTGATATTGAATAAATATTTTATGTGCATCATTATAAATAAATATAAATACACATACATATAGTGATTTAATCTTATACCAAATATACTTTGAAGATATTCGACTTAGATAAATTTCAAGTAAAATTCTATTTTTCTTAAATCTGATTGATCTTTAGTAGGTAAGCATAGATTATCATGAAATTCGAATGATAATCAAACTCCAACTATCATTATTTCAAAGTCATCAATTTAAACTTGATCCCAACTTGTATCAATCAGTGGGTCTTTATATTTTTATGCAAAGTATCATCATTTCTCACTTAAAGATTCTGTGCGTTGTAATTATAACATTTTGAAAATGTTAAAAATAGTATATACTCACTTTCCTGCGGCCGCAGCAGAGCATGGCTGCTGTGCTGCAGCTGCGGCGAGCCGTCGACGAGAGTTGAGGCTGGTGACAGACGTAGCTGAGTCGTGCGCCCCCTTCCCGCTGCAGCTGCACCACGCGCACCTGCAGCTGCACCTGCTCCCGCTCCCGTTGTCCTTGACCGACACCGACTCGACCACCGTACTTGATGCGCACGTGTTTTCGCCACTGCATGAGTTCGGTGCGTCATGCCCTCTTCCTGAAATTGGCAATAAATCGGTTAATAAAAATCCATGGAAAATGAAAAAAGATTAAGTAGAAATCATTTAGAAAAATAAGTGAAAAAATATTGGAAATCATTATTTTTAGCTTAATAATATATATTATATAATATATAATAATATATAATATAAATAATAATATATAAATATATATAATATATAATATATAATAATAATATATAATAATAATAGCTTAATAATATATATTATATATTAATTATAATATAATATATATTAAATTAATTCGTTTAATAGCTAAATTAGTTTCTTCAAGAAATAGAAAACCTAACCGCAAGAATTAATTAATAAGACATGAGAGGTTAAGAGCGCATAGAAATTTCGGAATCTTCATACGTCTCCTCCAACACAATACACAACGCTATCAAAACCATTTATGTAACATGTCATTGCTAAAAAGCTTCCACAGGATGTTGCTTGTTCAATGTACTTTGTTAATAAAACAGTCTCGTAGTCGCAAATTTTGAAGTTAAGAATTCCAGAAGTCGCTATCCTTCTTTTTTTTAGGAAACCAGGACAGATCGATCGATATCAGGGAGGGTTCCACTAAATATATCACATATTTTCAATATCTGTGTAATCTTTACATATAATGAACATCCTGACACCATAAGTAAGTACATAACACTATTACATATATTATATAATATATTATATACTATTACATATATTATATAATACATACATTACATATATTATATAATACCTCTCCCGTTTGATATCTATTTTAGTTTTTTGTGTTAGTATAATAATTACTATAGTATTTTTCATAATTTATATTTTTTCGTTTTCATTTTATTAATTACAATTTCCGTTTGAATCGGATTTAAATTTTAATCGAAAATTATGAAAACTTTGTTTATTATTGATATTTTCTATATGATTGGATTAATTAAAAATCACTTTTTCTTTTTTATTTTTCCTAACAAATTATATTTCTGCCATTTTTTCTTAAAAATGAGTTTTTCTTAAAAAGAGCAAGTAAAAAGAATCTAAGAAACAACAAATTTCTCATCTACATTAAGTATTACTAAAAATTATCCTTTATTATCAAAGAACATAAATATACAATTTTATAAAAAATTTTCAGTAACATACCTCGTTTTTACCTCATTTTTCTTTTTTAATCTACACTTTGAAAAACACAATTACACTAGTGAAATTATAAATCTAAATTAATTAATGAATTCCTATTCCTTAATCACATTTGCAATTCCGTTAAAAATTAATTTCGATATTGCGTCGAATACAATAAAATCGATAACGGGAAAAAGATCGAGATTATCGAGGAATCTTGATAATCGATAGATGCATGGCGACATCTATTTTTAGGTTAGGAAATTAATGCAAAAAGAAGGATACCATCGGGAGGTAATATAGAATAAGGTCATCATATCGCGTGCCAAATTAAAATCATTCAATCATCTAGGAACTGATGGATGGATCCACTATTAATAAATTAACATGCTCCAATAATTGAATACCTAGTGAAGTTATTGGGTCACTCTTCATGTATCTGATCTTCTAATATTGCCATTTTATTGGAATACTCTACAACCGAAAAATATTAATTCAGGTTAGTATGTAAATAAAATTTTATCACCTTCGTTCTAACTTAAATTTGATAAAAATATAATTATATATAATTATAATTAAAATAATTATAGAGGGATTAAAACTTTACCAAGTAACTTTTAATTTTTTTACTAATAGTAACTTTTAATTTTCATTATTAACTAATTATTCTATATCCAAAGAGAAGATAACCTTTTTTAACTTTGATCACTTTGAATATTTCTCTTTTTAGACATCTGAAAAAATTGTATTTAATGATGTATGATACATGGATCGTTAATTAATCTATTAATTAAACATTTTAATATTAATTATAAAAATTAAAAAAAAATAAATTTTTACAGAATATTAAATTGAAAAATTAATTCGAAAATGAATCAATCTGATTTTGATATAAATTTCATTTAAAGAAATATCAGAAGCATAATGCAACTGGTACAAGAACATGTATCTAAATCATCAGGTGGATAAAGGTAAAATAAAACGTCTAACTTAACCTCAAATCTAATTTCAATAAAAATCCCGCTTGAAAAAATATTAGGAATGAGGTATAACTAGAACAAGTATAGTGTAATTAAATCACCAAGTGGATAAGGGTCGAAACAAAATAGCCTTCATGCTTTTAACCCCCTTTACGGTAACCAAATAATCGATCCCACGTGGCTGTGCGCAATCACAGTTGACCTAGGGCTACCGAGAATTATGCTAGGAATCTCATAAGCCACGTCCATCACCGACCGAATGTCTCGGTCTTCAATTCAATCAAGGGAACTATTCATACGACACATTCTATGTCAAGCTCGCGTTGATTCATTAAGAATCAATAAAATCTTCGACCGTGTGCACCTGGTATGGTACAACCTTGACCTCATCCTTTTCACGGATTCTCTCCTAGAAATTGACCCGTTATATATGAAGACGATTTGTTGAATATAATTTTATGCAAAGTTTCAACTTTTTTCGAACAATGATCATAACAATTATTTAATTTTGATTAATTAGAAAATTTATGATAATTGATAAAAGAAAAGAAAATCAATGCTTTCCAATCTAACAGCCTATAAAGGAGTCGTTGCTCTCATTTCTAATTAATAACTTTTAATACTTAATTATTTTAATATAATTACATTATATGTATATTAGATTAATTCTTTTATTACTTAATTTAAAGAATATCTCTAATCCATTTCCAATTTTTCTAGGAATAAAATTGAAAACTAAAATTGAAATTACTTATTTAAATATTATATATATTATATATATAAAGAATATATAAGAATATATAAGAATATATATATATAAAGATCATAACTCGAGAAGAATTGAATGCAATTTATTTTTTTGGAATAATTATTGCTAAATAATGCAAAGAAAAGAGAGGAAAATGATAAACATTAAAGGACTTTTAATGTCTTATAAATTTTAGAATTTACATAGAAAATTCCTTTTGCTGGTCTATTACATTTTTTTATTCCTGAATAGCTTGATGTAGGCTTATAAACAACATCACTACACTTCTCGAATAAACGACTAATCGGTCCCTTGCGATGTTCTTAGAGAACATAGAAAACGTGTTCCAGAGAAATACTTGTGCGGGAAAAAACGTGCGGCATAATGATCATGATGCACGTGCAATGGTAAGATCATACTCCCTATGGATTTTCCTTATATAAATCTTTAAAATCTCGCATATTCATGCAATATTTTTGAACAAGAAAACATTTCTGATTCAAAATTGCAGAGATTTAAAATTTTCTTTTTCTACCCATATTTCTATTCAAACTACATATATATTTTATATTTTATTTTAATCTATTTATTAAATATTTTTAAGAAAAAGAAATGATTTTAAAAAAGTTAATACTTAGTTATAGTTAAATTAAAAACAATTAAGTCAACAATTACAGATCACAATATTCTAATATAAAAATATCTTAAAATTTTAAGAAAATAATAAGTAAAAAATTTCAATTATCCGTTATCATAATTCCAATAACCAAACCAGCCAGTTTTGGGTAATTGTCCATAATCATAAATATAATCAGAATATGTATTCAAAAAAGCATGTATTTAACTCTTGAAATATTGCACGTTGAAAGTGAATATCGATAGACCTATACTTATCTGATTTTTGTTATCTAATATTATCCGTCGAAAATGATAAAAAATAATGTAGAATGTTCGGGTTTTAACGTATCCTTATATAGGAAATACATTTGAGAATAAAATTTTCAAAGAATTGTTTTCGAGAATATTTTTCGCAAATAAATATTGCATTGAGAGTGAAATTAATCAAGAATAACTTTCACTTTCAATACAATATTGAAAAATGATTCTCAAAAATAATTTTTAAATATATTTGAACCCATAAAGGCTGCTGTATAATGATTGTTTCACACAAATATGTATCATAAGATTTCAGACAAATCATATATCGTATTATATCACAAAAGAGAAAATGATAATAATGTCTTCGAAATTGTTACATGCAGATTAATCGTATTTCCAGAGTAATTTCCGGCTGATGCAATTCTCTGGGCACACTTAAAAAAATAAATATAAAAAAAGAACATCATAAAAAAGAGAGATAAAAAGGATGACATGCTTGATCGATACCTTCTAAAAATCATTTCTCGCGCGAAGGGCCAACGGGTCCCTGCTCGAGCAGACTTGAATGACCTCTCTCATTCTGGTCCACTGATCACCGATCTCCTGAAGCAATATAAAAATAACTACGTTAGTAAGTGAATATATCAGTGAGATTTTTAATTATTGAATTAATATTTGCAAGTATATATGAAAAGTTAATATTTAAAATATATATATTATATATATATAACAAATAAACAAAGATGTATTATAAACAATAAAAAATAGTGGAAAAAAATATTTTAGCTAATAAACTATACAGTTTTGTTTTTAAATAAAGTTTTTGAAGGATCGTATTCTAATAGGCGTTCATAATTCAAATTCTTGGAAGTCATGGAAGAAGTTTAAAAGCACTACGTGAAAATTCGAAAACTTTGAAAGCGTTTGACTTCGGCAGGCTGAGAGAGGTAATAAAGCTTCCCGGACTCTCGAGTCTGCAGACATCTCCATAGAGAAACGTCAGCGTTTAAGCAAAAGAGCTTTCAATATTAGATAAAACTCGATAAATCCTTTTGATCAACGTTCTTTTACTTACTTTTTCAATAAACAATTGCAAACACTCAAATAATATAATTTGCTAACAAACTAAAGATAATATTATAACTACATGTACTAATATATATACATATGTCAATTCAATTTTACATTTTTTGAAATATTTTTTAATAAGTATTAAATATTTAATTAGCGCTAAAATTTTCAATATTATGTTTTATCAATCCTTTAATTGATTAATAAAAACTTCCTCTTTTCTTGTCATTATATATATCAAAATGAAAATTTTTTTATTCATTAAATATTCAAAATTTAATATGAATTATTCTTTAAATAATACATACACAAATTTCTTTCTATCTATCTAACATTTCTTTATATCTTTCTATCTATCTATCGTTTTAATCTAGTGCAATCAAATCATTTTTTAACCCAATCGATATATAAATTAATATTAATAAAAATTGAACAAATCTTTTATAATTTATTCGCATAAATCTTAATAACTTTTAAATCAGCCACTGTATTTTAAAGATTAATATCTGTAACATATATAAATAATTAAAATTTTCATTATCAAGAACTTTACCAAAAAATTCAGCCAAATAAAATTCTTTGCAGATAATTTTTGCAGATGATATTCACAAACACAATCTACAACTCGTTCCAACAATTCACCAGATATCTCACAGATCGGCGCAATTTTTGTATAACAGCTCTTTAAAAGGAAAGAAAAAGAGGGAAAAAAAAAAAATACGAATTAAAAAAAAAAGTTATTCACGAGAAGAGACACGCGCGCGTGCACGTGAGATTAACTACACCGACTCACGCCAAGCGTAACTTAACAACGTCGTACACGGCACTTAACGCCCGACATCGCGGTACGATTTTTCGTTCTCACTGTTAGGGACTAAGAAGTGGTGACGACTTCCACGGGGGGACAAGCGCGATCTCAAACTGCGCGAGAACGTGTGTATAGACGTCGTTAAATAAAAGAGGGGACACCCACTACTGCGCAAAATCTTTGTCGTAAGGGCGGTTCGATCGCTATTTGGTCCATGTGATATTAGTCAACTTCTGGATGACATCTCTATCATCTTTCATTTCTTGTTTTGCTTAAAATTCATAACATTTCAATAATTTGAAGAATTTTATTAATTTATTGATATATAAAATTATTATTTTATACTAATAAATAGAATAGTAGAATTAACATACATACAATTTTTTTTATTTAATTTTACTAATCATGGTAAATGACGTCTAAAACAATATTTGGAATATTTTCCTTCTATTTCTATTATTTGATTCATTTATTATTTGTTCTAAATAGAATATAACATGAATTAACAAGGGAATAATGTGGAATTCTGTTATATAAAATAATGATCATACATATTTACAATTATTCCACATAAAAAATAGATCTTAATGAAATAAATTAATAATAAAAATAATGCCTAAAATGAATTATTGAATATTTCTAAAAATATAAATATATTCTATAAACTATAGAATTCCTTAAAAATTCTATATATGAGAAATATTGTTTTAAGTGTTGATACATTCAAGAGTTTTTGCAGTCTGCAGTGTAAGTAGTTACTTGGAGAAAGAATCAACAAGATCTGTCGACATTCAACTAGTTCTCCTGAACTTTATTCTCCGATTTCGCTTTCCATTTCACATTCTATCGATCCCGAAGACAGAAGAAGAGGCTTTCATAGCAATGAAAAAGCATAAAACCAGTAGACAGAAAAATATAATTTTTAGGTGGACTAAATTTGATTGATTAACTAAGTTGACTCATCTGAGGAAAGATATTTTACTATTAAATTATTTTATTTAAAATTTTTTCTCTTTTTAATTAAAAAAGAGAATATTGATTTTCTAATTTTTTGTTTAATAATATTTTAATATATTTTTCAAAATATATTATACTATTTGAAGTTTTATATATCTCTTTTTTAAATGAAATTAATTAATTCTAAATACTTTAGAAATCTAGAGATAGTTTAATTTATTTATTCTAGCGAGAATAAATCAAAAGAAATGATAAAATTTTAGTTTTTTTAAATATTTTCAAATGATAGTTTAGTTAAGAAGATTAGATATTTTAATTAAAGAGAGCAGAGTATCATATAAATAACCAATTTTAATCTTATACTTTAAAATGTATTGTTTTTTAAAATAAAAGATATGAAAAAAAATATAAAAATATATAGGTTAATGATCTCATAATCTTTAGAAAAAGTTACAGAAGGTAGATAATAAAGCTATTAATACTCTCTTCCACTTTTGCCCTAAGGGTGTCGTTATTCTAATTATGGATTTTCCTTGTATATATCAAGTGTAAAACCACTTAGGCATCATGATATATAAAAAAAAAGCCTCCAAAAAACTTTAATTTCTTTTTTCTAAAAATAATATTTGATAATATTAAAATATGTTATATTTGCAATATTCTAAAAACAAGAAAATACATAATTATTTTAAATTTATTTTAAAATTATTTTAAATTTATTTTGTAATCTTATTTTGTAAGCTAAAATTTATTAAGATTTTAAAAAGATGATACCGGTAAAGGGAAAGAAGAAGTGATTCTAACTGTGAAAAGTAGATGCCAGAAGGGTCGATAAGGCGGCAATGAACGCAGAAGAAGCTCGTGAAGCGCAATTTCGAATTGTATGGCAGTGTAGCCGGGCCTGGATCGATAAGGGATACGTTTAAGGGCGAGTGGCAAGAGTAACAGGAGCATTGCAGCAGCCAGGAAGGTGTTTGTTCATCTTTCACTATATTCGTTAAGATTTATATCAAACAATACTTATCAACAATATGCATGGGCAAATATAATGACAAATACAAATTATTTTTTATCTAAAACTTATAAAAAGAAAAGAATTAAATTACAAATTTAAAAAAAAAGAAACAAAATAAATGATAAATAAAGCAAAAACAAGTAAAAATAAATAAATAAACAAAAAGAATAAATAATAAAAGTAGGTAAGATTGGAATATAGAATATAAAAGAACATAGAAACACTTCGAAAGAAGAAAAGAAAGTGAAGAAAAGAAAGAAGGTCGAGTAAAGCACGATTTCGTGGTGGCGTGCCAGAGCCAATGGTCCCGGACCACCGGATCAATATACCCTTTTTCGAGAATGTCTTCAACCGACCCTCCCTCAATTCTTACTAACACACATATGCTTATATACATACACATACATACACATAAACATATTACTACTCTCTTTCCTCTTTCACCCTCTCTCCCTTTCTCTCCTCTCGAGGAAAACGCGCGTGTCGTTGACTCTCTCTTAAACAAGCTTTACTGAATGAATCAAAATGACCAGTCCGGTTATGTTCACTGGTACATAACGTACCTTCCAGTGGACCAAAGACAAACGGCTCAAAAACGAGGAATCCCAAGTTGTTGCTTGAGTCCGTGTCTTCCTCGTTCAGTTTTTTAGTGGCGGAAGGAAATGGCACGACTCTTCAGGTTGCAGCTTTCTCACCTCACCGTATAAACGTCACGCGGGAATCAATACGCGCGCCTGCCTCAAGCTTCTCCTTCTCTTTCCCGCTTCGTATTTCACCGCCAATAAAGCTCTACCTGTCTCTGTCTCTCCCTGGTTCTCCCGCGATTCTCCACTCTCTCGAGTGCTCAGGCTATCCGTCGTGCCACGGCTCCAGTATCCCCGCGGCTGCTCGCACCTCGTGCACTGCTGGAATCACAACCGGCCCTATCTATAGGTAACCCTCCACCAGGAGGCAACGACTCAGAGACGAGTCCTTAAATCAACCTCTTTTATAATATACACGTCTCGCGGATGTATGTAGTACAAAAACCAAGAATTCGGCTGACGAAGATGTGTAACGGATCGCGCTGCATAACCATGACTATCTAGAGCACCCGGGCGGACATGTTGGTTGAGAGAACTGCGCACACGCGCCCCCAGCTCTTCTCGCATACTCGCCACGGCTCTCCAGACTATGCTGAATCAATTTTTCTGCCGGACTGAGGTCGATTTTCGAGTTATTTTTCGTTTCTACATTTTTTTTTTCTTTTTTGAGAAATTCTTGATTTTCTTGAAAATTTTTTGTTGAAAAATGAATGATCGATCAAAACGAAGTTGCGAATAGAAAAATGAAATATTTTAATAAGATTTTCTTTTTATTTTTTTATCTTTTTTTGATTTTTTTTTCTTTTTCTAGAATTTTATTTTCTTTTCTGAGAAAATAAAAAAGTCAATCAACAACGAACCTGTAAAAGAAAATGAAATTTTTTTATTAGACAATAGAGAAAAGGCGTTGTAATAACAATTAGCGTTTGAATATGATTATTTCATTGAATTTAATGGATTTATTGATTCTTGTGGATGTCAGTTGATTGAACGATTTTTTGATTTTTTTTCCTAACTTGATGCAACAGGTTATTTGAATGCTTTCTGCGAATTCTTTGTTTTTAAATCAGTTTAGTTCTATTTAAATAAAATTTTAAATATATTCTTTCTGCGATGAATATGATGATGTATGATTTTTATAGCAATTATATGAAGCTATTGAGATATAGTATATAAAGTTAAATTTCTTGTATCAAACGATTCTTTCAACTGGCTTACAGAAATAAATATATTTAATATCAAGTATTAATTAATTTGGCTAAATATTCTTGGTACATATGTATTATCTTATATTATGTACAAGTTATGATTTAAACATGAAAACCATAATTTTTTTTCATAATTCAAATAATATCAGTTATTTGAATAAAATTTTTTATTAAAACATATCAATATAATAATTTATATTATTAAAGTAATTATATATAATAATAGCAAAATAAATATTTCCATTGATCCTTGTATATATTTTTTTACATTAAATTTCAATCTATAAAATTTTTTCCATTGCATATAATTTTTGTTTAACATTGACTGAAATATTAAATATTAATAAGGTAATTTATGAATTCAATATTATTAATTATAAAGCAAAGATCAAAAATAAATTATGAAGCAAAAGAATCCAAATAACAAATATTCATTTAATAAATTTAATATAATATTCATGGAGTTTAAGAAAGAAATGCACAAAGAAATTTGGATAGCAAAAGAAAAAGTAGTAATTTCTTTATGAAAATATAAATTCATCTAGTAAGTTGATTCTATATCACTGTGTGACGAATTTTGATTTTTTTTAGTCGTTCTTTAGCTATCGAACCTTCACATGCAGATGTTCAAAATTTTTCCTTTCTTCTATTCTTTCTGAACAGGATACAACAATAGTGACAAAAAAATATATATATGAATATTGCATAATATAAGATTTATAAATTATGAATTAAAAATATTATTGACAATTGTTTTATGAAAAATAAACAACAAATATTAATATATTTTTTATTATTAAAATTTGTAATAAAAATAATCGTAATTTTAGATTTTTTTTTAGATTTTTTTCATTTACTAAATAACTTATGAAAAATACTGAAGAAAAATGAGAATGATTTAGGAAAATAGATAATACTTTCTAAATTTTCGTTCGATCAATGTCAATTCGTTTCCCTTTTGATTAATTCTTAAATAGAAGAATTACCTCTCATCCGTAGATATTCTCATGAAAAGAAGGGAATAGAAAGCTGATTATCGAAGAAATTCATTCCAGTGATTCACAAGGCTCTGATATTCCAATGTTAAATCGTTTTCTCTTCATTGTGATTTTCATCATCAAGCCTAAACCTTCTATTTCCGATTCGATTATACTGGTTTGAATTGAATGGAAACTACTTAGTGTTAAAAACACTTGCCAAAAAGACGATGACTTTGTCAATTCAAGTTAGATTCTCTTTAATAGATTCATAAATTTTAGTACAATTTTTAATATCTACAAAACATTACATTTTATTAAATTCCTTTCAATTGAGAATTCAATATAAAATGATAACTTATCTTTTTTTTTTTTTTTCTTAGAAAAAATCTTCAAAATGAAACGTTTTTATATATGATTTAATGAAAGTTAAAAATGCTAATTTATTCTTTAATCTATATTTTCCTCATTTTTAATTTTCTTAATTTAATTTCCAAATTTAGTTTTCAATTTTCTAGTTTTCTTTTTAAACTATTTCTTGTTTTCTTTTCTTTTTAAAATTCTTCTATTTCTTTTTTGCAGATTAATTATCAATAAAATAAAATTTATGATATTCAATTTTTACAGTATCAATCTCAACGTTCTTCTTGGAAAATATCTTTATCCTTTAAACATTTTTTTTCTCTTGATTTGAGTTAATCTAAGAAAAAGAATTGAGTTAATAATTTTCAATGTTATGCCGGCCCTGCTACTCGACCTGGAGTACGATGCTGTGATTGGACGGCATTTGAATGAATGCCATCCGGCATTCACACCTTTTTTCAGTTCCTTCCTTTCAGCTGCGACCCCGTGCACCGTGAAATCCCCGATATGTACTCGAGGGTTACGGTAGCTGACACGCAAGCACTATGAACGTGTGCTTTTCACGTCACGCACACGAGCCACCAGGATCGTATCAATTCCCTTGGTAATCCTGATTTTATATATAAGATATGGATAAAAAAAACATAGAATGTTTTTCGTGTTTAATTAATGGTTCTTTATTCTTAATTCAAACACGATCACATAATTTGTGATTCATAATATTGTTAATTATTGTCATGACTGAAAGTCGATATCTAAAGTCTAATCTTTTGAAAAAATAATGAATATATTCAGAAGATATTATTTCAATCTCAATATTATACTTACATCAGAAATAAAGAATAATTCGGTTATTTATTATAATCATATAATATTATCATATAATATTATTATACTCATTTCTCATTTTTTTATCTGTGCTGTTTCTATATTTTCATCATATCATTTCTCTAAGAGAAATTTGCATCGTTAAAAATTAATTGTTGTTCATCTCGAAAAGTATATCAAATATCTCAATTGATCAATTATTACATTCATCAAGCACATTCTGCCGATTGATTCATATTATTCATTATTCATTATCGTCTAATTTGACATTTTACTAGACATAAATAAGATTTTATTAAATTAATTTTCTAAAAATAGAAATTTCTAAAAAAATATTGTAATATTAAGAAAAATTTATTTTAGTCATTTACATTAAAAGTTAAAAAAATAAAAAGGAAAAAATGAAAATATTGAAAAACAAAATTATAATTACTTCAGAACTAATAAAATACTTACATTTTACTTAACAGCAAAATTAGCTTATAATATTTCCCTTAAATTAATAAATTGATCAAGATTATAAGATCGTTTAAATCTTCAATATGTTCATGTATACATTTTTAAATTAAATCAAATTAAAAGATATAAAATTTTTATTATGGAAATATCTGATTACAAATGATCAAAAATAGAAATTCTATTCCAAGAAAAGATTTGTCCAAATTGTAATTATTGTAAATCTAATTAGAATCTTAATCAGAAACTTATAATTTAAATATGTACACATATTTATATATGTATATATGTATGTATGTGTTAAAAAATTATTCTAAAAATGAAAGAATTAAAAATTAAATATTTTTTTTTCTTTAGCTTCCTTTTTGAAGAAATACTTGACTATATACTGTCTTGATACGCATGATCTAGATGAGCGTGCAGCTTTCATATGAATAACAACGGCAACGACAACGCCGTCGACGAGGACGAGAACGCATTACCCCTACCATTACGTACTACGAAATACTACGTTCTGTGATGCGGTGCAATTAAGCCAGTAACCCCTCACCCTTTCACATCCTACATCCTCTTCGCCCCCTCCAATAGACTTCGGACTCACAGAGGCGCAAGTCCGTCTCTTCTTTTACCATTTCTACCGCAGCTGACATTTATCCATTCGTTCATTCATCAGACCACATGTCTTTAACCAGTCGTTTGAATCAAGTTACCATGTTGATTCTTTAAACAGAATTTACATTAAAATCTTGATTATTCAATTTTATATAATCTTTTATTGAATACTAATAACATGAAGAATCTATTGTTCTAAAATATCTTCCAATCTTTTTTGAATAATTAAAATAAATAAAATAAACATTTCTTATAATGTTCAAATAAGTTACTTCATACTTCCCATATAAGATAAAGAAAATTTCTAAAACTAATACCGCTCACAGAATACTATATATTATTTGAATATTTGTCAATTATGACAAAAAAATTATTTTGATACTTCTATAAATATAATTGTATTAAACAAATAAGTGTCAAAAATTATTTGAAGATAACAACAATGATTAATTGATATTATTATTATTATTAATATTATACTGTCTAGTAAATATATCAATACAAAAAACTTTTTACTATTTTCGTAATTATTAAATTTTTTTAATAAAAAAAGTTCATAAATAAAAACTTACTGCATTATTATCATAATTTGTTAAATTCAATTTCTGTCATAATAAATTGTCAATTTCTTTGATAAAAAGCTACAAAATGTAAAGGAGATTATATAAAGTACGATTTTAATTATAAAATAACGATAAAATAATGTTCGTATATTTCTTACTTTTTGTTCAGTATTCTCTTTATTATAAATATTATATAAATATTATAAATTAAATATTTTTTAGATATTGGTTAATTTTATATTCCCGCTTTTTTGATGTCAGTCTTTGATAATATATATCTTAGAAAGGTAAGTAATAATTTGGAATGTCATACTTGATGCAATAGTGCTTTTGCTTTGTTGCAACATGGTGAATCACGCAAAATATAGATATATTATCTTATAAAATTTTATGTTCTGAAATACTGAAAAATCAATTTCTTACGTGATTTTCTACTAACCAACTAATTATTAAAGATAAATAATTATGAAATACTAGGAATACATTTTTTTTTATTAAAAATTGAAAATTTGTAATTTAAAATATTTAAATTACCTTAATTTTTTCCCATATTCTAAAATCTTTATGTTTTCAATATTTGCTTTTTTTTAGTCATATATCTCTTAAACTTCTATGAAAAATTATGTAAATGAAAAAATTATATAAAATTTTTCCATGCAAATTATAATTATTATATATTTACAGTTTAATGACAACTATTTCAGTTTTTGCACACTATTTCCCTCGCAAAATGTTTCATGACTGAATATCGCCATCTGCCGAACAATTTAATAAACGATATCGCTTTGACGGTTTTGTCTCTATCCATGCACGTGTGTTTGCATTTTATACGGATTTCGATTTTTGGCGCACAACTAGGTAATTTCTTGAAGTTATTTTAAGACTCTACTATTCTCTAAAAATGTGGAAAAAACAAAAGTTTGAATAGTTCTTATGTAATTGTTCTATATATTTTTAACATCGGTCAGTGTCGCAGAATAATCGAAGTTTCTTGTCTTAGTTAGATGTTGGCTTCGTCTCTTTTTTCCTCATCATCTTTCTTTTTCTTATATTTTTATTTTCATTATTTTATATCATCATTAGCGAAATACGATTATTTTTATCAAATGATTATTTAATCTTGTATATAGAAATTGTAAAAATGCAATAAAAAACAGTTTTCATTTCCCAAATCCTCTATTTCTATCTTTCTCTTTCTTTTTCCGTTGTCCTACTTTGTCCCCCTCTTCTTCATGTTATTCTCTGTCTGGCTCATATAACAAGCCGTTTACGGCAATGAAAGTTTTTGAATTTTCAAATTTGATATTATACTGTAGCATTTATTTCTAACACGTGCCATCGTATTTCTAACCTCTGATTTATATAATATGTATCTTTTATCCTTAATTTACGTTTAAACAACGCTCTAAATGTGTAGTTAAATTTCAGAATCATGCCATCCGATGCAAAAAAAAAGCAGCAGCAAAAAAAAAAGGAAGCTGCTAAGGCTCGACAGTCAGGAAAAAAACCACCTCAAACTAATCAAAATAAAAATGCAGAAGATGGTAAAGAATCCAGTCCTTTGGGAATCATTCAAAATGGAACCAATGGAACACCTATTAGTGCAGAAGGTAAATTGAAAATTATTTTTAGAAACAAAAGATTAATCAAAAGTTTCGTAATAAAGAATTGGACAAATTATTCATAAAAATTTTTTTTTATCTTATAGAGGCATTATGTATGAAATTAGAAGCAGATGCAAGACTAAATGCAGAAGCGCGATCGTGTACGGGATCATTAGCTTCACATCCGCGAAGTCGAGATATAAAAATATCTAATTTTTCTATTACTTTCCATGGCTGTGAATTGCTACAAGATACTATGTTGGAACTGAATTGCGGCAGACGTTATGGTTTGCTTGGACTTAATGGCTCTGGAAAATCTACTTTATTAGCTGTACTTGGAAATCGAGAAGTTCCTATTCCTAATCAGATTGATATCTTTCATTTGACCAGAGAAATGCCTGCTAGTAATAAAACAGCTTTAGAATGTGTGATGGAAGTAGATGAAGAGCGTATAAGATTAGAAAAATTAGCAGAAGAATTAGTAGAATGTGAAGAAGAAGATGCTCAAGTATGTTTTTATTTTTTATATTATTTTAATTAATATTTATATTTTATATTTTAATTAGATTTATATTTATATTTTAATTAGATTTTTTTAATAATAAATTATATTTAAAATATTTTTTTTAAATAGGAACAACTCATGGATGTTTATGAAAGGTTAGAAGATATGTCTGCTGATACTGCTGAAGCTCGTGCTGCTCATATTTTACATGGTTTGGGTTTTACTGCAAAAATGCAAAAAACACCTACCAAAGATTTTTCTGGAGGTTGGCGAATGCGTATTGCTCTTGCAAGGTTATTAACTTTATTTATCAATAAAGAAATGAATATATAAAAATCTAATAAAAATGATTATTTTATAGAGCATTATATGTGAAACCTCATCTTTTATTATTGGATGAACCTACCAACCATTTAGATCTTGATGCTTGTGTATGGTTGGAAGAAGAATTAAAAACATATAAAAGAATTTTAGTCATCATTTCTCATTCACAAGATTTTCTTAATGGTATTTGCACAAATATCATTCATGTTAATAAAAAACAGTTGAAATATTACAGTGGTAATTATGAAGCTTTTGTCAAGACAAGGTAAGTTGGTATTAGTTATAACAAATTCTAAGATTAACAAATGTAAAGAAAGATATTAATTCTATATGTTATATGTCTTAAATTCTAAATGTTAGAATGGAGTTATTGGAAAATCAAGTAAAACAATATAATTGGGAACAGGATCAAATTGCGCACATGAAAAATTATATAGCACGATTTGGCCATGGCTCTGCAAAATTAGCAAGACAAGCACAATCAAAGGAAAAGACATTAGCAAAAATGGTAGCACAAGGTCTTACAGAAAAAGTTGTAAATGATAAAGTACTGAATTTCTATTTTCCCTCTTGTGGAACTATTCCACCTCCTGTTATAATGGTTCAAAACGTTAGTTTTCGTTACAATGAAGATTCACCATGGATTTATAAAAATTTAGAATTTGGTATAGACTTGGATACCAGAATTGCATTAGTTGGTCCAAATGGAGCTGGAAAAAGTACTCTTTTAAAATTACTATATGGAGATGTGAGTTTTAATTATTATAAAAATATTATAAAAGTAGTATTAATTATTATTTATAAAAATTATAAAAATATTTCTGAATAATTTTCTGTTAATTTATAATTATAGTTAGTTCCAACTAGTGGTATGATACGTAAGAATAGTCACCTTCGAATTGGAAGATACCACCAACATTTACATGAATTATTAGATCTAGATATGTCACCTTTGGATTATATGATGAAAGCTTTTCCAGATGTTAAAGAAAGGGAAGAAATGAGGAAAATTATTGGTCGTTATGGATTAACTGGTCGCCAACAAGTATTGTCATTTACAAAAATTTAAATATTCAATGACTTCAAAAAATATTGGCTTACTCTATAAAATTTTTAGCATGTATATAATTGACAATCTAAAAGATATTTTTAAATTTTCATTAGATAAAAAAAAAGTTTCACTATTTTTTTCACGATTTTGATAAATGTAATTTTTCTAAAAAAATTTTTTATATATCATCTAATAAACTAATTTTTTTCATTTTTCAAAAAAATTCTTCAAATTTCTTAAAAATTCAAGTCCAATTTTTAAAAATTTTTAAAAATTATTATGTTTTAAAGAATGTGCTAATATTTTTTAAGATCATTGTACATAATGAATGAATTTTCAAAAATTTTTGTTTTATATAGGTGTGTCCAATTAGACAATTATCTGATGGTCAACGTTGTAGAGTAGTTTTTGCATGGTTAGCTTGGCAAGTGCCTCATCTATTATTGCTGGATGAACCAACCAATCATTTAGATATGGAAACAATTGATGCATTAGCAGATGCAATTAATGATTTTGATGGAGGAATGGTGCTCGTATCTCATGATTTCAGATTAATTAATCAAGTATGTACTAATATTTTAGAAATTATATATATTCATTAATCATTATATATACATATATATAATATTATAATATTTTTTCTTATTAGGTGGCAGAAGAAATTTGGGTTTGTGAAAATGGTACAGTTACCAAATGGAGCGGAAATATTTTGGATTATAAAGAACATCTAAAGACCAAAGTGCTTAGTGATAATCAGAAAAGACAAAAAGAAATGCACAGAAGCAAATAATCTAAATAATGTGTAATCTATTCTACTCTATTTTTCTTTCCAAGTATATTTTTCTCTCTCCGTTACAGTAACTGCCTTTGTCCTTATTTTTTCGGACATTTCATCGTATCTATCATTGACTTTGCGCTGCTGTGTAGCGTTATCAGTGGTCGAAGTTTTTTAGCTAATTTATTTAAATAATGAATAGCGAATTATTTTATGACAACAAGATCGATTTACGGTGAAATTTTATCATTCTAATAGTTCGAAGATCCGATATTATTAATTATATATTACAAGAAATTATAAATTGGGCATATATATATGTATACATATATATATATGTATATATATATATGTATATATATATATATATATATACATATATATATATGATATATATATATATATATATATATACACACACAGGATATCCCAGAAGTCGATCGATAAAGCTTAACTTATGATTTCTAATAAAAGACACTGACCAATTAAAGCACGTAAAGCTGTTTCATTGCTATGGTAACTTTGGATATATGTGGATATATAAGTCAATGTTTTAATAACTCGTTAACAAAGCCGAAACGAAAATTTTCACAAAAATATTTAAAATCATCTTAAGAATAAGTTAAATCTTAAGTCGACTTCTAAGATCTCATATATATACATATATACATATACATACATATATATATGTGTGTGTGTGTGTGTATATTTATATAAATAGATTACTACAGAGTACGAAAATAAAACAGAAGTATTATAAAAACTTAACAAATACTCGAATTCTTCTCTTGCAATTTAGCTTTATTAAAAAATCATATTTAACTATAAATTAATTTGATTTTCAGTAGATATAAAAAAATATATGGATGTGTACAAATAATTATAAATATTTAATATAATCGATAAAATAACATAGTTTCTATCAAAATAAAATTTTTTATCTCGTATATATTTATATAAATATATTGATCTTGTATTAACATCATGGAAGACTAATATCTTAGACATATTCACAAGAATTATAACTCTGATATCCTTTGATTATAAAAAATGTTTAAATTTATATAAGAAATGTTTCGTGCAATTAAACTATAATTATAAAATGGAAAATAGAAAGGAATCTTACTAGAAAAAATTAAATATAACAGAATAACNATATATATATATATATATATATATATATATATATATATATATATTCTAAAATTAGAGGTATTTCAAAAATTTTAGATTTATTTTTTAAATTAAATTTAAGCAATAGCTTTTTTAATTCTTTATAAAAATGTATTGAATGTCTAAACTATTATTTTAAAAAAATATTTCAATTTTAATTTTATTATAAAATTTTTAATAATAATGTGATATTATTTCAGAGTTATGTTTAGCTTAATTGCGTGAATCATCCGTATGTTTCATATATCTTACAATATTTTTTAATATATTATTTCACGAAAGTATATATGCATTTTTGTAATAATTATAATTACATGAAATGTAATACACTAAATATTGTTGCTAGAAAAATCGAAATTGCATTATTAGGTTTTGGATCTTGACATAATAAAAAAAGAAAAAGAAATACTCGATCGAATATTTTTTAATACTGCGTGTTTTTTAATTTCACGCAATACTTAGTAAATCTATTATAAAACCTAAAACCATGAAATATAAAAATTATAAACAAATTGTGAAAATTGAAAAATTGATGAAAATTCTCATAGAAATTGAAAATTAAACTGGTGCTGAAGTTGGAATAGAACAAGCCACTTCTTGTGCTAATGCAGCATTTCTCAAGATTGATAAATGAGAATCCATATCATTCAAAGCTTGATCAATAAAAGCTAACTTCCTAGCATGATTTTTGGAGACTCCGTGCTTAGTTACCAATGCCAAATGTGTAACAGCTAATACTAATGCTGCTACTCTGGCTTCTAATAATCTTGCATCTAGTAATGGATACAAACTTCTAACTACATCATCAACACGAGATGGAATACGTCTGGCAACCTAAGAAATATAAATTTATTAATATTAAATGTTATTATTTGTTAAAAAAATATACTATTGTTAAAAATATATACTCACATCCACGATTTCCAATGGAATAGTATTACTATTTACTGTTCCTGCAATAGCAGTGAGATTAGAAGCCAAAGTATGACAAGATCTCAATACATCAATGCACAGTGGAGCTAAACCCGTAGCATCATCAACCCATCTGTATTGTCCAAAATTTGACTATTGAATAATTAGTTTAGTGCTTCATCTCTAGATATTAACATACACTCTATACCTCTCTGCACCAGCTAACCATTCCTCACTTTCCCAAGCATCTAAACCAGAAAAATGTTCTCCTTCTAATAAATCTGAGTTTAAATCTGGAGAATCTTTTTGATTCTGAAATATAATTATATAAATTTATTATCATATTAAAAATAGATATTATATAAATTTATCATCATATTCTATAAAAAAAAAAAAATAAGTAACTTACATAGTAACATCTTTGTCTTTTACAAATGACAAGCAAAACTAAAAATGCACCAAAGAAAACAGCAGCTAGTGCACCAAGTGCCACAGCCACTATTGTTTCCATTCCTGTAGTACTAGTCATAGGACCAGTATTACTTATTGAAATTGAAGAACTCATCTTTTTGATGAGTTTGATAATACAATACTTTTATCTAAATAAATCTTAAAATTAAATATTTTATATAAAATATATAAATCTTATCTTAAACAGTTCATGAATATTGTTTAAATAATTTTTTTCGTACTAAAAGTATCAATATAGTGTCGATTTTCCCGGTGATAATCCGTGAGAGGCGGAGACTGTCACGAATCTTAAGCTCAATTCATCAACTAATAATTCCTATATTTTTTATAAATAATATTGCGTAATTCAAATATTAACAGGTAGTTTAAAATATTCTATATCTATATACAAAAATATTATAAAGAATATGTTCAAAATTGATCTACAAAGAATTTAATTAATAGAAAAATTTATGTAACAGAATTATGAAAAAATTCTTTATTCTTTTTATCTCTATTTGGTAAACATTTTTTATTATATTTTTATAAAAATATTTCTATAGATAAATATTTTTGGATTCATAACTGTATATTTTTATATATAAATATTAAGAGATATATAATTATTTAGAGAATCTAGGGAATAATAGTATGAACGAATATTAACAGTTTTTCACATAATTTGTTTTTGCAATATTTATTTATTATATAAGTGTAATAAATTTTCAAAAGTTTTGATGTTTTTTAAATTACAATTTAGTATATTTATTTTATGAAAGTATTTATAAATAAATATTAATAGGATTATTTTTTAATTGATGTTTATAAAAATTTATAATATTTTAAAAAATTAGATAAATTTTATAAATCATTTGTATTATTAATAAAGTTAAAATTAAATTTAAAATATAATATTATAAATATTAATAACTGAAAGTTAATAAATGTTTACATTTTAAATTGAAAACTATGTAAGTAATATAAGTTATTATTAACAAAATTTATTATTTTAATAAATAATAAATTCAAAAGAGAAAGTTGTTACATTCATATTTTATATAAATACCTTCTATTTTATTTTCACAATTGCGCATAATTTTTTTAATTATAATTTTAATCTCATTTTAATTATAATTTTTTACAAAGATTACAATTTATTTATTTAATTTCATTACATACTATTTTATATTTGATTAATGACCAAATTATTATTAATATTTTCATCGACTAAAAGTTCTCAAATAAATATCATACTTTTAATTAATAAAAAAGAAAAAAGTGAATAATAAAATAAGAATTTGAATCATAAAAAAAAAAATGATTTATCAATTAATTCGCCAATAATTATTAAATATGCGTTATAATAGAACTTGGCAACACTGTTACGAAATGAAATAATTCAGTGCATTTCATAGTCATATGTTTTCTGTCATGAAAGAGTTGCTGTCAAATTTAGTGTCATTCGTGAATATTCTGTAAGTGGGAAGATAAAGATTGTCAAGAACACTTCTTCAATACACGATATTCTTCGTATATATCTGCATCTGCGTTACCAAGAATAAAGGCAACGTAACCTATCTTTTAACTCGCATTCAAATTCTCTTTTTATTAATTTACCACAAACGATAATACTTTAAACATCATATCCTAAAAGTAAAATATATTTTACAACTTGGAAAATCAACGTTTCAAGTTGTCACGTGAAACACGCAATTTTTATATGGTATTTCAGTATAAAATAAACAAAAGTATTACACTTTCCCAGAATCAATATAAAAGATTTTATAAAAAATTGTTGTATAAAAAATACATTTTAAAATATAACAAAGGATTAATAAATAAAGAATTACAAAGTATTTACAAAGTATTTCTAATATAATATGAATAGGATAACTAATAGTGCAACAGCAAGACTGAAACAAGATTATTTGCGTCTTAAAAAAGACCCTATACCATATGTTGTTGCAGAACCAGTTCCTTCTAATATATTAGAATGGTATGTATGGAATGGTATTTAACATTTATGAAGAAAATTTTTTATGTAATTTTATTAATAAATATTTATAAATTTTAAATATGTTTTTATAGGCATTATGTAGTAAAAGGCCCAGAGAAAACTCCCTATGAAGGAGGATTTTATCATGGGAAACTTATATTTCCAGTAGAATTTCCATTTCAGCCTCCTAGCATTTATATGACTACTCCTAATGGCAGATTTAAAGTCAATACAAGATTATGTTTATCTATTTCTGATTTTCATCCTGATACATGGAATCCAGCATGGAGTGTGTCTACTATTCTTACAGGATTACTTAGTTTCATGGTATAGTAAAATAATACTAATATTTAATAAACTTTATTATATAAATATTATATAAATATTTAATTATATAAATAATTATATAAATATTAATTAATTAAATAAATATAATCAATTTATTTTAATATTTGAAAATATTTGAAAATAATCATTCTTATGATAGATTGAAAATAGTCCTACCATGGGTAGCATCAACACATCAGATTATGAAAAGAAACAATTTGCTGCACAGAGTTTGGAATATAATTTAAAGGACAAGTTGTTTTGTGAACTTTTTCCAGAAACTGTTGAGGTAGTATTAATGTCATAAAATAAATATTTCAATGTGATACCAATGAATATATTATAGTAAAAAATATAGTAAAAAAAATTCATATTTTATAGACAATAAAGGCAGAATTAGAACATAGAAAAGAATTAGAAAAACAGGCAAGGCATCAATCCACAGCTTCAGAAGTTTCTTCGCTATTACGTGACCAATTGCAAAGGGATCAAAGTCCATTGTATAATGTGCTCACCAATCTTGTTGTCATCATAGGATTCGCGGCCTTTGCTTTTACAGTAAAATACGTATTGTGGAGCGTTGCCACAGAATAAGTAAAAAAAAAATGAATGTATAGGATTTGTTCTTTGTTTTTTATGTATAGGGAAAAAAGTGGAAAAAAGTTGTGATAATGATGCGTGCAGATCTTGAAAAAAAGTATTAAAAATTCAATTGGGACTTTGTCCATAATTGTCGAATTAACACGAAGAATCTATTTAATCTTCTGGTTTTTAAATACGCTGATATTATGGGCGTTTGATAGACTTTTATATCAAAGTTACTTGTAAAAAACAAGTTGTATTATATTTGCAAATTTTAAACATAATAATCGTGAAACAATGGTAATAATTCCTTGAAGAATTCTACATAAGAGCATTTATCATTGGAAATAAAGTATCAATAAGTTTTTATGCAATTATAAAAAAAGATCAAAAGATTAATTGATTTAAATCAATGTAAATTTCGGATTCAAATTATTGGCTTTCAGTCAGGTTCTGTTACGCGAATTTCCAAAGTATAGTTCAACTATTTGAATTTTAATATTTAGCAATTATTTGATGAATTATGATAAAGGAAGAGAGAAAGAGTGTATATGTGTATATGTATGCGTATATGTGTGTGTGAATGGAAAAAGAGGAAGGAAGAGAATGAAAGAAATAGAATGATAAATTAAAATCGTGGGGGCTTCCCAACACAACTATAAAATCAATGAAAATTAAAATTTTGCTACAGTCTTCATAATTTTTAATTTCTAATTTCCTTTATACATCTATAATATATTATATCATAAAAACTTCCCGAATCTATCTAAAGAAGTTTGCCTCTGCGATGTGCCAATGAGAAACTAAGTCAAAATTTCTAACTGAATCGAACTAAGCTTAATAGAAAATAGCTTGTGTCATCGACGAAATATGTCGATCTTGTAAATATATGTAGTAGATTAGTAAGAAATATGTAATATCAAAGATAAAGAAATTTATCACAAAAGAAAGAAATTGAACAGATCAGCATTAGTATTTGTCACTTAATTGAACCATTTGAAAAATAATATTAGAAAATATGCTGGAAATTTATCATCTTTTTGAATATATATACATGTTGCTATGTTAGCTCGCTCGAAGAAGTTTCGTTCGAATCGGTTATTATTGCTTTGTTGAACGTAATCTTTTTTTCTGCCATCCGCTACAACAATAAAAAAAAAAAAGAGATTTTATATACTTGTAAAATTGATGATGACATTAATATGGTTATTATACCAAACGTTTAATAATTTATAATAATGAACAATACTAAAAAAAAAAAAAAAATAACTTCAATGCTTAAAATGATATTTTTACGTTAAGATACTGTAAATTTTATATATGAATCAGACAGTGTAACAATTTTTCTATGCAAAAAACATTTTTTTTTTTTTTTTTGCTTTCTTGATATTCAATATATTTATAAAAAAAAAAAAAATAATGACTTCCAAATTTTTTTTAACACTCAATAAATTTATATAATTTTAAGATTTTAAATATTTTCGATATATTTAATTACTGATGTTGTGTTTAATGTAATATGAGTAAAAAATTATATTAAAAATGAAAAAGAAAATCATGCTTACGAAATTAAAAAAAGAAAAAAGAAGAAAGTTAAAATGCACACTTTTCGATTGTATAGCAGCGCCATCTCGAATTAGGAATTATTTGAAATGAACTATTATGTTTAAAATAATATTTTTTGTAATATTGGATTATTTTGACAAAAAAAAGCCATTTTCTTACATATTATTATTGCATTTAATTATAAATAGAAGAATAAATTGTTTTTTCTTAAATATGATATGTAAAAATTTGAAATAAGTTTTATCTTCATTTATCAACATTCGTTGTGTATTTTATTATTTTTATATAAAATTCACACATACATTTTATATTTATTCATATACGTAAAAAATTATTATTTTTAATTTACTTAAATATGTAAATAGATTATAAAATGCACGAAATATGGTTATTCTGTAATGGACGAAAAATCGCAATTTAGATTAACAGATATAGATGTCATTATGGGAAAACAATTTTCTAAAATCTCTATATTTTATTATGCAATTTATGGTTTTGTGTATTATCTCTTTCCTTTTTATATAAATATATGAATATATATAAATAGAAATAAATAAAATAATTATTAAATTTTTTATATATGTCAAATATATTATATAGATGCCAATGTAATTTGATTTGTTTAATTTGATAGTCATAATATTGAAGAGAAGTACAATATTATTTGAAAAAATTATTTTCTATTTTTGATTTTTTAATTTTTAAAAAACATTTTGTTTCTTTCATTTCTATATCTTTTATTATTGTTTTAATTCCATTTTATATTTTCATTTACAATATCAATCGATAGTTTGAAAGATCGATTCATCTGGTATATTTAATCGAAATGCGATTGAAACATATCGCATACAGTATTTTTGTTTAAAGTATCATTTAATAGTTCGATCAGAAAGGAAGAAAGGAAACGGAAGCAGTCGCGGTTTATTGAAACGATAAACAGTTAGAATTTTCTTTCAATGGCTCTTTGTTTGAGTGCGCTCGGGAGGAAGGATATATCCTGTGAAGCCATCTTTAACTTTCTTACCAACTCTGTTTAATTCTTGCTATTGGAACCGTTTAAGTGAACATCAAATAGAATATAAAAAATATTGGAGAATATCATGATTGATGCAAAATAATTCAAATTGAATAAATTTGAATTATTAAATAAATATTTTTTAAGGATTCAAAATTGATTTCAAATTTTTAATCTTGTTTAGATTAATTTAAATATAATTTAAATAGAATTTAAGTTTTCTAACAAGCTTATTTATTTAGATTTTCAATTAATCTTCCGTAATATTTTTCGTAGTTCATTTTATGGATTTTAATGTTCAAATAATTCTGCAATTGTTTCAAAAACTTTTTATATATAAATTTCAATTTTATTTGATCATAAAATAAGGAAATTAAGTTTTTTTTCTGGCTTTCACAATTCTAACCTCTTCTTTTTCGATCTTGTCTTAAAAGCGTCTGAAAAAAAATAACTAAAATAAATAACACTTGATCGTGAAATCTTATGAAATGAAAATACACATGTCTATATTCTTCGATATATCTCATATCATTTTATCATAAAATTTGTTAGATTTGTATATTTACAATTACATTTTAATATATAAGTATATAAATATTTGCAGTTATATAATCAAATATTTAAAATTCTACTTAATATATAGTAAATAATAGATAAAAATATAAAAAAATAAAAATATTTTTCATAAAATTTTAATAAAAATACAAATAAAAATTTAAAAGAAAGAAATTCAAACATAATATTTTATCTGAATTATATAAATTATTATTAGAACAAAATAAACAAAAGAGTTTGTTTATGAAGGACTAATAAAAAATACATAATTAAAAATACTTTATTATTGTCAAAAACCAATGAATAAATAATAATAAATAATAAAACTGACATGATTTAGGAGATCGTGAATTAATGAATTCTTCATATCTTATTACTCATCAAAAAAACTATTTTGAAAATAACTAATGCAAAAATGAATTAATTATGCGATTTAATTAGTTGCCATTGATATTTATATTCTTCATGGAAATTGTTTCTGTAAATGAAAACCAAAAATTGGATGGATAATCAAATTATGTGAATGTTTCTGCTTAGCATTTCTTATTAATTCACTCCATCTTTGATTTTCAACTGAGATTTCTTAAAATGGTTTCATTTCTTCAATTGAACTTAAAATGATTCTTGTACCAAGAGAATATTATAAATACTTTAAACAATGGATTTTGTAATCTTGTGATCTTCAGATTTTTTTAATTGTGAAGCATATGTATATAATTTAAAAAATTAAGTAATAAATATATATAATGTTTTATAGGTTATAGAAGTTACTGGAATTCAAGTATATAAATTTTCAAAACTATTATTGATATTAAATAGAATTTTAATTGCTTATGACAAGAAAATTGTTAAGATTTTCTTTATTGTGATTTGAAGGATAATAAAAATAATTGCAGCTGAAATATAATAGCAGGATATTTTTTTGTCACTGTAAGTATAAACTTTTATTTATATTTCTGATGATGTAAGCCATTATAAAACAAACTGACTATGTAAGACAGCATATTGTTATTAAATCAATCTCATATATAGTATATTACAAATGATATTGAAGGAAATTATAAAGAAGATAATGATTACAATTGGCATTAACGACGCACAATTAATTATTCTAAAAAAAACAGAGTGACAGAAATTGCAAATGATAATAAAACAAAGAGAATATTATTAATATTTATTCTTTCTTTTTTCTTTTTCATGTTGATTTTGTGATAATATGTTAATCAAACAATAAGTTTTAAAATATTCTTATAGAAAATCTATTGAAATTCTGATTTGAATAATTGTAAAGAAAACATGGAATTAAAGAGATTGGGATTAAAGAATATATAATATTAACAAAATATCCGATTAAAAATTTGTCTCGTATCTACGAAAGGAGAAAAAGAAGGAGACGAAATAATAAAACAGTCGCGCATAGGGCTGATGGCAGGATTTCCATCGAGTTCTCGCGTTCGTAAATAAACCAGTGAAGCGTGGTGGGTCGCTATGTTTAGGTTAGGTGGTTTCTCAGATTTCTGGGATCACCATGAGAGAATGTGACAGTTCTTCCAGCTACCGGTTGGTTACTTTATGATCACTAATTCAATGATGACTGCTTTTAGTTTCAGAAAAAAGAAAGATAAGAATTGGAGATATATAGTAAATATCTACTTCTTTTTCTTTTTCCGAAAAAATTCTTTTATTCATTATTCGTAATTTGTGATTAAATAATATTAATAATGTTAATATATTAATTCATTTGCGTAAACCAGAATTTCCTTTTCTGCTTTCTTGGTTAAGGAAATAATAAGAAAATAATAAATTCTCTCTGTAATTTAAATTTTATTGAAGTTATTTAATTTTCTAAATTATATATACATTATAGGGATCGAAAAGAAGTAATATTGAAGATTTCAGAAAAAAAATCATAATATCCTTACGACATAGAAGACAAATAGTGGAGAAAATGTATTGAAAAGATCCGACGAACATCCGGTGTACGTTGATTGGCCAAAAGACAACCGGTTGACATCATTTTTGACCAATCGAACAAACTGGGCGTTGCTAACTGCCGTTTCCTTGCAATAATATTTGCACTGACTCGTCTAATCCATTAAGCCTGCCATCGGCTGGCATTTGGTAAATTATTTATCAGTTCTCCTCCAACACTGTTTCGTTCCTCGTCTTTCTAAGATGCTTCTTCGAATTTACGATCTGGGAATATCCATATGTTTCGCGCCTGAATTCGTTACGAGTACTCTTGTAACATCAACTAGGCATTATGCGACGATCCTTTATGCATTAAACGTCATCCGCTTCCGCAATAGAATTTCCGGTGTTGATGGAACTTTAGTAGGTGCAATAAAAATTTTATTTTTGTCGTTTTCATATATTTTATTGCAGATTTAGATATTTTTTAATTGAATAAATATTTCTAAATGAAATATTTAAAATTCTTAAAAACTGAAAAATTAAAATCTTTTTTAATTATTGTAAAAAGTTATTTATCAATTAATTAAATAAATTAAATAAATTAAAAACAACAGGTTTGGAAAATTTGGTGCATAAAAAATGTGAAAGATTTATATTTAGTATTCAATTTTATTGCATTGTTCGCAATTAACATATAAAAATACTGTACATTAATTGTGCAAATACATTCTGATAAGTTATTTAAAAAAATGCACTTTAGCATCGTTTCAAGGAATGAAAATTCAAATGCTACCTTATTATTAGGAAACATTGTCATCAAAAGTTGCAATTCTCGAAAAAAATTATCAAGAATTATATAAAAATAATTTCATGCCATCATTTATATTTTCATACAAAAATTAATATAATTCAATATTTAGAATGAAAAAATCTTAAATTTAAAAAAAACGAAAACTCTAACTTTGAAACTTAAACTGAAAATTTTCTTTAAGATATTAATTAGTTCGTAGATTCTATTTGTAAATTTTATTTTTGCATAAATATATATTTACATAGAAAAAAACAAATAGAAATTTTATCAAAAATTTCAAAAGAATTTTTTCTTTAATTTAAACTTCTAAAAAATTTAATTTTAATATTAATAAATTTTTAATATTTACATTATTTACAAGATTATTGTTTAATGATTATTATAATTATTTGGTGAAAAATAAATTATTGCGATTTCCGGCCACATTGTACCTTAAGGTAATGAAACTAAAGATGAACTTATGACGAAAATAGATGTTTTTTTAATAATCTTTTTGTTGGAGAATATACAACATAGAAAATTTTTCTTAATCTACTATATACAAAATTTTTGGTTCTTTCTGCTGTATGTTTAAGGCATTTAAAAACTTATAATTAAATACAATTTGCTATATAAGGTACAATATATCTTCTATGTGAAGAACTCTATACATGGGAACAATTAGCAATCTCGATTTTTATTAATATATAGGATAGACATTTCTTAACAAGAAATTTATAAAAAATCTTGTTAAGATAAACTCGAGATTACTTTACATATGAAATAATTTATCATTTAAAAACTTCAGATTTTTTTATAAAAAATATTATTAGAGCTAACTGTTCTATTTAATTCAATATGTATACATATATATACATTTTTTTGATTGAAATATATATATATATATATATATATATATATATATATATATATATACACATATATATATATAATTCATTTTGAAAATGATATCTGATATATTCATTTGATTCATTTGATGTATGTATATTGTGTTGTATGTTTGATGTATGTATTCTGATGTTGAAGCTGTGAATCAGATATAATTAATTGTTATTTGCATTGTGATAATTATAACTCTTTCTATATATATAGTGATTTTCCTAAGTATCATAATATATGATTTTTTAATCATTTTAATCAGCATAATAATATACCAAAATATACAAAGCTTAGTTCTTTCAAGATATTTAATTTTTTATTTGAATATAATATGCATAATATTAAGTCAATTTATAAAAATTTAACTTGGAACGTATCAATGAAAAGTTGCGAGGAAAGTTGTCACACTTGCTGCTAAAATTCTATACATAATTCATTATTACCATTTTAATCAAGATATCATTACCGATAATAAAAGAAAAAGGAAAAGAAGAAAGAGAAACAGCAATGAAGAAGAAATAATTGTAAAATTAAATTTTAAATTAAATTTTAATGATAAAAGAAATATGTTCATAAAGATTAAAAAATAAGAATTGAAAAGTAATTTTGTTTCAGTAAATCTTCTAAAATTTTTATTTCATTTCATTGTAAAATTTAATATAATTATAAAATTATAATTGTAGATAGATATAGATACTTGAACATTATGTATTTTTTTTTCAGTAAAATTTCTTTCGAAATTAATATAAAGCTTTAACAAGGGAAAAAAAAAGAAAAGGAAAAGAGAATAGTTTCCTGACAGCTTCTCAAGGGGGACACTGATGGCACCTCGTTTGGAGGCAAACTTTTTTTCACGAAGATTCAGTGCGGCAATAAAGACGCTGGCGGATTTAACGTAGCGTGTCTTCGTTAAGCAAGTCAAACGTAGACCCAACTTTTCCCTTCTTGTCTTCTTGGTTTAAAATAACTGGTTGTGTTCGAAACCTTCTCATGTAAAGTTGACTAAACTATGAAGGAACCTCTACTTTAACTAACTATAACATCTATGAAATAAAATAGATACTACTAAAAGTTATTCTCATTATCCAAATAAAATATGGAAAAGAAGAAGAAAAATTGAAAAAGGTATGATATCTTCCCCGACCTATTGGCGCCAAAATGATCGTTAATGTTTCTCTGTCGGTTGTTTTGTTTAAGTTTCATCTACCCGTCGGAGCAGTTAGAACTTGTTTCCACAACGTCGAGACGTTAGTCTGCCACGATCATCGAGACTCGTAAAAAAACTCGTAAAATTGTAGCAATGATACTACTGTCTGTCGTGGATCTGAAGAAGGAAAATTGGTAAAGTTTAGAGAATCTAATGGTGTCTATTATACGATTTAGGGGTTATTCTGATGTAAGTACTATTAAAATATTATAAGTATTGTTGTAGGAAATTATCATATTTATATAAACTTAGATGTAATTTGTATGTAAGTTTATAAAAAATTTTATTTAGTTAAATAATATAATATATAAAAATTAAACGAAAATTTGATAATATCAGTTTGATAATATATATATTTTTTAAATAAATAGTATGAAAAATAACTGAGTAAAAGTACCAACATATATAACGAATCAATACAACGAACAGAATTATTTTGGATCATTTTGCTCTATTTTGAAGATTGAGATTGATAGAAAAGATCGTTAATGAACTATTATATTATCACTTTCACACGGTTCAGAAATTATGGAGGAATTGGCTAACGAGCCAAAAACATTCCAATGTTAATAGAGCGAGAAGAAGACGTAAATTATTGACTTATGTTATGTCTTATGAACTTAATCTTTCTTGATTTATCACGAAGTTGACTATCGTGATTTCAACAAGATCAATAAAAGATGTTTAGTCCTTCTAGAGAAATAATTACTCTTAATTAGTCATTCGTAATGGCCAGCAAGTGTGACATGCTTCAGATTTAAATTACAAGCAACTTTTGTAATTAATTTTATAAAAGAAAAAAATAATTTTTAATATAATTTTTGTCAAATAATATTTTAAAAAACGAAAATCAGCGCTATTTAAATGGAAAACGAATTGATTGATATCTTTTTCTAATTTGTTTATCATTACATTAACGAATTATTAAAAGATTAAAAAGGTAAATAAAATAATTCATATTGTTTTGTTAATATATAAAAAGTGAATTAGAATAATATCTAAACACATCACAGAAGCCTACGAAATACATTGGTGGCACAAAAAATTGTTCAAAAAATAATTCTTCATAATTTTATGATTATTTCAATTTTTTCAAAATTAGAAATATTCATAAAATTATTCGTTTTAGACGATGAAAGAAATAGACAGATATGATATTAAAAAGATTGTTTCCTTATATGATTATAATGTTAAAAAATTCGATAATTTTTGAAAATTAAATGTTGCTTAAATAATATGTTCCATGAAAGCATCATTGATCCTGAATAGATTATTTTCATATATACCATAACATTGTCTTTTCCTATTATCATAATTTCAATATTTTCGTGCCAGCGAAAATAGGAAATCGACACGCAATTTAACAAACTCCCAGTTTGCACATCGTTATGAACATTTCATAGAAATATGTTTAAATAATCGCTGAGCATTGTTAAGCTCTTGTTTTAAAATTTCTCTATATTTTCTAAATATTCATACAACGTTTAAAGCGTTGATTATAAAGTAACTTTTACCTTGTTGAGCGTTCAAAAAATATTTTTTAAAGTTTCTAGAGATTCGAATTCCAGTCATCTTCCATCCTCCAAACGCTAAAAGCGTATGAAAGTTTTTCGTGAGCCATGTAACTGCACGACGATGAAGTTATTTCTCTAGCGGCTAGAACAGCACTTCTTGGATTTCTTTCGTCTGAAACAAGAAATCGAGCTTGATTAATTCTTTTCTAACTTGAGATCTTTGAACTGGTATGTCTATTGCAAGAAAAGAAATTCTATTTCGGAATTAGAAAACCTAAAATTCCAAGCAAATCAAGAAACAAGAAATTAAAATTTTTAAAATTCCAATTATATAATACTATATATATATATATAGTATAATAATAGCAAAAAATTGCAATCGCGAATGCTTAGAATTAAAATTATAAACTTTTCGAATTAAAAGTTTTTGAAGTGGAAAATCTTGAGATTGAAAAATCTTAAAATTGCAGATACATATGATGTTACAAGTGCTCGAAAGTAAGAATATCTGAAACATTTGGAACAATCAAAATTGTGAACTCTCTAAATTGTTAAACTTTAAAATTGAAAAGTTGAAATTGAAAATATTGAAATTAAAAATAAATTGCAAAATTCGTAAATATTGTACGTTGTAATTATAATTTAAAAGAATTTAAATCAGAGTATTCGGGCAAGGGTAAGTAAAAAGAATTCTTGCCAAGACGAAAAACGTCATGAGATATCAGATAAGCAAAATGAAAGGAAGAAATACATAGTGAATGTTCGCGGTTGGCGCGCTGAAAATGGACCAATCATCGTCCTCGTCTTCAAGACAGTTAGCGTGTCTCGATATCTTTAGTCACCTGAAGTTATTGTACTGCACATATTGCCACTATTTGACTCGTACTAAATCGCACCTAACTAATTGTCAACGTTAAGAGATACTGAGATGCAAGAAAACTAATGATACAAGATACTGAAAAAGCATATTTTGCCTTTACAATATCGGCAGAATTCTTTGATATAAATCTCATTAGAAAAATCTTCAGGTATTAAATTTTTTAAAAAGAAAATATTCCATAAATTATTTAATTTTTTTTTTTAAGTTGAAATACAAAATTAGACTAAATATCAAATTAATTTTTATTAATGATATCAAAATCATAAAATTAATATAATTTTTTTCAGAAGAATACTACAAATTTTTTAACAAGCAAAGATACAAACTTATCAAAAATATAATCGTAAACTAACTTAAGAGATTAATCAAATTTGGAATGCAAAGAAAAGATTATATATTCAATTTTAACAAATCTAGAAATTCTTAAAGATTCTTAAAATTTAAATTGATTCATTCTCGATTTATTCTCTTCAATCAATTTGTTTGATAAAGATTGTTTTACCTAACGACAAATAACAGAAGTCGAGTGGGAAAAGATGTTTACCTGAAGAGCTACCTCTAGAGATGACACAGTTACTTAGCATAGTTGTTGATATTCGAATCAAAACTACTTCTTCATGGGGATCTGTTTAATTACAGGAACTTTAAACAAACGAACTAGTTTCTATAAACACGTGCTACTTGGCTGGAGGTATACCGACGGATACGTTATAATAGTTACTATCAAAGATTACTATTTAGATGTTTAGATTCATAAATATAATATATCTATATAATATGCATTATACTCTTATTTTAATAATAATAGTATTAAAAATAATTTACTGCTGCTACGATGAAAAAATAGTTTATATCTGTTTTAACAAACAAATTTAAAAATTTTATTATATATAAAATATTTTTATAAATAAAAAATTTTTTATTGATTGATAAAAAAATTTTTATTTATAAAAATATTTTATATATAATAAAATCTTGATTATAAAACTTAAAACAAAATATCTATCTAATATTTATATCTAATAACTGCATTCAAAAATGAAATTAAGAAATATAAATTGCTTAGTTCAAAGCTTACATCATTATAATTGAATTTAATTTTATTTTATCTTGAATATAAAATGTGATGAAAACTCACTAGCATCATCAGCACCCTCAGTGTTTTCCATATTGCAATGCAATACCTGGAACAGGAAGTCAATGTATCTAGTAGCTAGTTTTAATGTTTGAATCTTGCTCAACTTGTCACTTGGTAACGTTGGTATAATCTTTCTAAGTGCAGCAAATGCTTCGTTCAAACTTTGAGTCCTTTGTCTTTCTCTCACATTGGCCATCACTCTCTGATTTTGAATTTCTTCAAACGTCGCTCCACTTTTCCTTCTCATCTTTGTTTTTGTTGAAGACGCGTTACTTTCCGTTTCAGATTCATTTTCAATAGTACTCGATTTTCTTTTTCTCTTTCCACCATTCCTAGATCCTTCGAGTACATAACTTTTAGTTGAAGAGGAAGGTTCCGTGATTTGGCTCATCTCCACCTGCTTGTATCGCTGCTCTTCTACGTCCGGTTTGTATTCCATTACTTCCGGCTTGTATTCAACCGAATCCATGTGATGATAACTTTGATGAGATTGTCTAGGTGTCATTTCTTCTCCTCCAGAGGAATACATTTGAGGGGATGGGGTTAAATAAAGATTTTGTTCTTGATCTCTGCTATGGTCTGACAAAAAACCTGGAGAATTATCATGTAGACGTCTGTCATAGTCAGTTTGAAGTTCCCTAAGGATTTTCCCATTGGGATGTTCTTGATATCTTTTTTCCTCATCAGGATTTTCATACATCAGGTAAGAGGATTGTTGATAAAGTACTTGATGATGATGAAGATGATGATGAGGTTGATATATAGGTAAATCTCTGTGTTCAGGTGGACTGCTTAGATCCATTAAGTGTGTCGAAGGAGAAAATCTCTCATAGTGGTCGGGAGAGTTACTAGCCGAGCTTTCAGCACTGTGAGGAATTCCAGAACTGTCATTATTGTCCAGAAGATAGAGCCCCTGGATCCTTTGCGTCTGGAGACTCACTGGTTGCGTGGTCTGCATGATCTTCATCAAACTTCACTTTAGCTATTAGTTAATATTTAAACACTTAGACATCACTCACTAGAACTCGTCCCAAACACTTTGAACCTGTTTGAATAGAATTATAGCTAATTTCTAGGATTCCAAAGGATTCTTTATGAAGTAACTCTTTTATGAAAGGATTTGGGTTATTATAGGACACACGCTCAGCATCTATATAATGTCGATACATTTATAGTAGACTTGTAAATGAGCATACGTCTCTGCTCGAAAGTTCAGACTCATCTGAAAGAACCGGCCCTCGGACTGCCTCTTCATGTCAACCAGGAACCCCGCCTTCGACTATGGAGCTGTTCCCCTACCTGGCCCCTCTATCCGCCTATATAAACCCCTCCAATGCTCTGGGACGGTTTCTTTTATCCATCGTGTCTGTCAGTTAGTCCCCACCCACAAAACTTGGCTGTTGGAAAGAAAAGGATATACTGAAAGGGGGCTTGGGAGATTGAGGATCATGATCAGGGAGCTACAAAAGTTGTAACCACTGTCAAAACTGTAAACGTGAAAAAAAAAAGATAGAATATGGATAAAATTGGAATTTGAACATTTTTTTTACATTTTCATGCTTATGCTTTAATTTTCTTAGCTCCTTCTTTTAGTGATTTCTGAAAGTAAAAAAATTGAAATTCATGAAACGAATATAATTTTGTTATTTATTTTAGATATTTTATTAAATTTGTTTGAAATGATATATTAATATGAATATTTAGCTTCTGAATTTTGCCGAAAGGAATTTTATTAAATTTTATATAGAATGATTGATGATCTTTTTCTGATGCTTCAGTAATCTCGATCTGCAAGATTGAAGAAGTTGAAAAGAGAGAAATTGAATGGCTTGGTAGTAATAAAGAGAGATAGTGTTATAAGAGAAAGAACAGAAAAGGAGGAACACACGAAGAAAGAGATAGAAGACTTGAGGGACGACCCATGTTGAATATTTATATCGCGAGGAGCCAGTGAGAATAAAGCGAGGGATAGCGAAGAACAGGGCTATGATCTGCAAAACTCTGCATTCACTTGGCATGAAATGGCGCGAAAACGCGCGATTCTCTGTTTCTCTTTGTCAATTTTGTTTGATTATTCTCATTGTTAACATAATTTATTTATATTTGAAATACTTTTTCAAATTCTTTTCTGTAAAGTTAATGAATTTAATAATTCATTTACTTATATATTTTACTTATATATTACTTATACTTATTTTTATTTATAATTATTTCTTTTTTCATTCATAGAATTTTTATTATACATATATCAATATAGATATAAAATTAGTTCTGACTAATTGGATCAAATAGGTATGATTGCAAAGTTTAACTTATATAAATACTAAATACTATTTTTTTTAAAGATTATCTGGATTTTTTTAAATTATATTAAATCATTTTTTTAAACATTAAACTAAATAATTAATCTAAATAATCTTAAAATTAATAATTTCTTTTTTTTTTTTAGATACCCTTTCAAATTATTTATCTCATAAATTTCTTCCATCTTTAATGCGACAAAAAAATTATAAATTAATGCATTAAATATTAGCATCAAAACTTTAGATATTTTCAAAAATAAGTTTATTTCTCGCGAATTGAAATTAATACAGGCGAATGGAACGATTCAAAATCGTTGATAGACGAGCCGCAGTTCCAGTGTGGCGAGGCTGAATGATGAATGACTATGCTGGATTGCCGGGACATGTTTGTTGTGACGGTCGAAAGCTCTTTTGAAGGTATCTATAAATTCCGCGTTTCGAGCTTTCACGGGTTCCACGGTTTTCCTACATAGTCCCGTGATTTACTATGCCTCACTCCACGTTGTGGTAACGCCTGTCTAAAATTTAGTTGCAGACATGGCGACTGAATCAACGAAATCATTGAATTTCTCCTTAATCGGAAGAATCTTCTTATAATAATTTCAAACTTAAATTCCACTTTATTTTTTCTCATTTTTTTTGTTTTTTTTTTGTTTTATTGATAATTTAACTTATTTATTATTTATTATTTGATTACTTTTTATGAAAAAAATTTTAAATAAATTAAATAATATTTTTTGTTGTTTTTAAATATAAATTAAATTTCTATCTTTGTTTTCTATAAATTTATAAAAATTTTTAAATCAGCATGTAACTTTAATCATAAGTCATTACATAAATATCATAATATCATGATGTTATAAGAACTCTAGTTCACAAAATATAAATTAGCTTTAAATAGTATCAGATATACTTGATTTACAAAAATTTTATCAAAATTTTTTCTTCTTTTATTTCTAATCTCTTTTTCTTTTAATTTTGTGTAACTTATTAATATAATATTTAAAGAAGAATTAAATTTATTTCAGAAAGGTGTGATTTCGAAGTAAAACATCATATGAAAATATTTAGTGGTCATTAATAAGTTTTTTTACATTTTTGAGAAAGTCGTAGGACATACGTCTGAATTTGTCGTTACATCGAAACACGTTTATCGAAAGTAAAGACATTAACGTTGCTTCTTCGTCTCTGCCGTTCACTTCTGGGAAGCGAAACGAGCAAGCAGAAAATCCCGGATCCTGGCTCGTGGCCAACTGAAAATCAGATCGCCAATAAAGAGGCCGATAAATAACGCGGCCAAACACCAAAATAATACTCGTTGCTGATCAAAGTCAAATAACTTGCACCATCTTCCTAGCTTCCTTGGCTTTTCCTTAAGGTTGAAAATTCCTTAGGATTTATCACGATTTGATTTTTTGGCAGTTCTAGATGATTACATGTATGTAATCAAGAAAGATGACTTATTTAAAATATCTATAATTTAGTATTTTAGAAGAAAAATGTTTTATAAGAAACATCTTATATGAAATAGTTTAATCTTATATGAAATTAATGTTTGATTTTATATTTTCAGAGAAACCAAAGTAATCTTGCAGTTTTTAAATTGTATAATAAAATTACTATAATTTCATCTTGTGCATACAATAATATCAAATATTGTTATTAGTTAGAATTTTTTAATTTAATCTATGAAAAAATAATTGAGAAGATAGTAAACTGAAAAAAATAAATAAAATAATTTAGATATCATAATTAAATAAAATATAAAAATAAAATATGAAAAATATGAAAATAAAATATGAAAATATTTCTATTATTTCTCTGAATCATGAAAGGTTAAGATATATTATATCTTATTTTTTGCTTTTTTCTTTATTTTTTATTTTTTTTAAATTTTTTATTAATTATAATATAAAATTATAATATATTATAATAAATTAAAAAAATATTTTGAAAATTTGCAAAAGATAAAATGAACATCAGTATTCAGAATCTAAAACATCTATGCAACACAAGAAAAGTTGCAAAGATGTGCGTGCGTTTCTGCTGCACGCACCGTTTCACGATATTAACGTGAGCTTAATTATGCGTACGCGGTTGCGTTTAATCGATGCACATGCGAATGTATGTTTCGTCGTGCACCGTTGCAGGTTAAGGGTTTTCAAAGACTACTTTTTCTATACATTACATTACATTTTATGACTTTCTTCCTCACTCTTTTATTTAAAAAAAAAAACTAATTTATATTTTTCTTTTTAATTCTTACATTTTCTTATCATAAAAGAATATATAATTTATATTAAATCTTATAATAATAATATTTAATTTAAAAAAAATTATTCAAAAAATTTTAATTATATAATTATAAGATTAACAATATATATTATCAGTATATACGTATGCAACTTTATAATTATTTTTTATGTATTTATATTTAAAAAATATATATTATATAAAATTTGTTATTCAAAAGATTTTCAAATAAAATTGATGTTTGAAATCATTGATATTTGTACATGTATCAAATATAGAATCTTATATAATTTATTTTTTTTGGTGAAAAAGTTACTAAAAATAAGATTTATTCTTGCAATTAGCTTTCATATGAACATAAATTCAAGTATATAAGTTCAAATGCCATGATATAATTATGTCATTCTTACATAATCTTTAAAAGAAATTTATTAATATATAATAATTTTCTTTTAAGTAAATAGTTATTATATATATATATTTTCTAACCTGCCTGTTTCCAAAAACTTGTCGAGAAAGGCTAATTAGCTGCAAGAGGCTTTTAATAATTCTTTGAAGGTAGTGCACTGTCAAAGAAAATCCGATTTGATGAGAATTTATGGATGAGCCTGTTTACACTGGCTGTAAGGATTAAGGTATTTCGGTATTTCAGGTTGAATTCTGCCACCAGCAAAGCAATTAACACCTGATGGCCTAAGAAGTCTTTTATCATGGTCATAAAACGGCGCCGATCTGTCTATGAACAATTGTTCGAATATTTACAGTGGGAATTCCCCAGAAACTTCTTCCGTTAGTAACCTGAAGTATCTTTACCCTGAAGTTATTTTAATCTTTAAAAAATGAATTATGAATTGATCAATGGAGATTCTAGTAAATTTCTAAAGACAAATATTATAATATATTATATAATTATATAATATATAATTATAATATATAATTATATTATAATATATATTATATATATTATAATTAAATTATAATATATAATTATATAATAGTAAATTATATAGTATTATATAAATATAATTATACAAATATTATATAGTAAATTATATTTTATAAATATTCAAAAACTTCTTACATTATATTTATAAATTATGTAATTTAATTATATTCTAATTTATGAATTATAAATTTGTTATCTTATTGTTAGGTAATCTTTGATTAGTTTTGATAAAGATAATCTTTGATTTTATAATTTTTTATCATTTAAATAGAAGTTTCATATGTTAACAGTCATATTTATATCAGTATTTATAATAAAAATATATTTAAGAAAAGATATATATATTTATATATCTTTATATATATATTTTTATATATATATATATTTAAGAAATATATTTAAGAAGATATGATGTTTTTATATATAGATTTTTAAAATTAATCTTTGATTTTTTCGTGATTCTAAAAGAATTCCATTGCTCAGAAAAATCATTGTTGACTTGCACACAAATATAATTTTCAAAAAGTCTATCCAGATGTTTATTCAAAACACAAGGATGGAAGATGGACATTGTGTTAATAGATGTAGGATGGTGGTCCATGTGTCGCTATGTCGACTGTACCGTGAATTTGCATTTACGAGCTGAATGGCAACCCGGAACATGTGTTCGCGACCTGCCGAAAACTGGTGGTCAAAACACATGTTTCCTCTGAGGGAAAAAGGTGAAAGTCTCTGTAAAAGAAAATTCACAAGGTCATAAAGGACATCTGTATTTTTTTATACTCATTCAACTTTTGTTTTTATTACTATATTTATAATACAGCATATTTTCAATTTTTCAGACTTATGAAAAAATATTACAAAATTCAGAATTAAAAACCAGAATTTTTATCATATCTTTATTATTTTAAGATATCTATTATT